GATCACCGGACAGTGTGCGGCAACCGGTTTTGCGTCAGGGATGGAACTGTCAAAGAAAAGAAAAAGCATGAGTACACCTGCCCGCATTGTGGTGACCTGGTCGCAAGCAATGTCACGACGGGACAAATTAATCACCGGACAGTGTGCGGCAACCAGTTTTACGTCACCGCTGGAAAGGTGAAAGACCAAAAGAAGAACGCGCAGAAGACGGTAGGCAAGAAATAGCCCAGAGAGGCCGTTGCGGACCACGAGAAAAAGGGAAATGGTGTGCCACAGCCCAGCAAGGGCAGTTTCGGCCACTAAAAAAAAAGGAGTTGGTGCGCCAGAGCCCCGAGCCGACAGTCTGTGCAACTTCGCCCACAGTCTCGCACAGAGCCCAGAGCCCACAGTCTAGCAAGTGCGAGGTTTTGGAGCGTCTGAAGCGTCCAGAATCCAGAAGTATATGGCAAAACCATTGGCAATTTGTCGAGGGGTTTGAGGGGTTTGAGAGGTTTGAGGCGTGTGAAGGGCAGTTTCGGGCCACTAGAAAAAAGTATTTGGCGCGCCAGAGCCCCGAGCCCACAATCTGCGCAACTCCGCCCACAGTCTCGCACAGAGCCCAGAGCCCACAGTCTAGCAAGTGCGAGGTTTTGGAGCGTTTGAAGCGTCCAGAATCCAGAAGCTGGCTGCTCCAACGGCCAGTATGGCAGAACCATTGGCAAGGTTCGAGGGGTTTGAGGGGTTTCAGGGGTTATGGCACAACCATTGGCAAGTGTCGAAGCGTTTGAGGGGTTTGACGGGTTTGAGGGGTTTGAGGGGTTTGAGGCGTTTGAAGGGCAGTTTCGGGCCACTAGAAAAAAAGGATTTGGCGCGCCAGAGCCCCGAGCCCACAGCCTGCGCAACTCCGCCCACAGTCTCGCAGAGCCCAGAGCCCACAGTCTGGCAAGTGCGAGGTTTTGGAGCGTCTGAAGCGTCCAGAATCCAGAAGCTGGCTGCTCCAACGGCCAGTATGGCCCACAGTCTGGCACAGAGCCCAGAGCCCACAGTCTAGCAAGTGCGAACTTTTGGCGCTTTTGCTTTCGGGCCCAGAAAAGTAAGGATTTGGAGAGCTCAGGTTCCACACCTTCGGTGGTCCCAGGCGCCGCCCCTGCCTTCGCCAGAGCAGGGGTCGGCGGATATCCTTTTTGCCATGCGCAAGAACAGACATAACCAAGGCAACATGCGCACATGTTGAGCCGAGCAACATATAGGCTTTCGTTGGCCCGTCAATCGGGCCCTGAATACCCCAGTTTGCATGGTTTCGGCGGGCCAGCCTTTGGTCCCATTGTGTGCAGATGGAGTCAAGTCATTTGGGTACTGATAGCTCCGTTCATCCTTTGGTCCAGTGCTCCTCTGGTTTGCTGAAGGTTGGCCATTGGGCAACGTTCTGACGAGGGTGTATTAATGTTCTGAATCGGTTCTGAGTTCTGGCCAGCATTTTGTCCGTGAAGGGGTTGATCGAACATGGCGTCGCTTCCTCGCCCTCCAACCCTTGATTTCTAGGTTTGCTTGCGTTGCTACTCCGACCCCAGGCTTACCTACTGTATACCAGGAAAACGTGCATTTTTTATCATTTTGTTGCCATGTTCTTTGTGTATTTTGTGTCAGAGTTGTCTACTTTTCTTCTTTGAGGATGTGCGAGTAGTCACTCCTCCCCTGTACTCCTCCATCAGCTAGCCACACTCAAATAGAGCTGACGTTTGTGTTGCGAAGGTGCCTTCAGTTTGTTGTCTTTTCCACTATGTGCAATCCACTTGTAGACTTTGATTGGCGGCTTTTGGGCTCTTGTCTTCATTGCTGGGAAAACGCTGTGGCCTCTCCACTGCCCCATCCAGCTTTCTAGCTACTGTATCTATATAATTCTGTATGCACTCTAAATCATTCAAGTGAGTATATGCGTATGTGTGCCGTGTGCCAGTTGTTTGCATAAGTTCTGGTACTCCAGGGCTGTGCGGAGTCAAGGGCTTTTTTGGTTGCCATTGCGACTCTCGTGTTCACTGGAGAGAGAGAGAGAGAGTGTGATTGACAAAAAGCCAACACCGGCAGAGGTACCCAGTAAAAACTCAATCGAGACCACATGCAGGCAAACAAGTACGCAGAGCCTCTCCCAATAATATCCCCAACCTGGCAGCATGCGCCTCCACCTTACCTATTTAGACGCATGGACTGAGACATGAGAGAATGGAACGTCGAAAGTAGGAGCTCGCAAAATTCGGCTGGTGCACACAATCTTGGAGCTGCACTTCAAACACCTAGGGGCAACGACTTGTTGAACAATCCAGGGTAAGGGTGCTTCAAAGTTTGCCATCAAAGAACATCGTGAACTCAATCGGCCCATATAAAATATCGATGTGTAGAACTGTAGAACATTATAGAACGAAGGAGGGCAAGAGAACAGAGCATGCGACATACCAACAGAACTTGAAATAGTGCGAGGCAAATCGGCATCCTAGGGCTGATTTTATGCGCTCTATCGTAAATGGTGGGTGGCCATGTACCAAAAGCATCATCAAGTTTCATTTGATGTTCACGAAGCCCCGTCCAGCGATACAGCATGACATATGAATTTGAGGTTTGCTTCAGGCCAGTCCACCCAAGGAGTGTTCTGGAACGCTAAGTGGGCCGGACCAACAGGCAAATCCTCATCCCTGGAATCTTCCACTCAACTCACGATTGACAGCATCTACGAACCGTCACAAATCGTCACAAGCTGAGTCCTACTAGGTACTAGCGTTAAGTCGACTCAGCTTGTGTAAAGTCGACTCAGAACCGTGTGCCCTTGCAGAACTGCACTCCACAGGGACGCCTAAGCATAGATTGTATTGATCTATAACACATGCTCTGTGTTGTGCCCATGGTGTGCCTATTTTTGAATTTGTTCTTTGGGCGAGGGCAGCTTCCACAGGGGTGAAGGGTCACGGATTCGTGACAGTTTTGATGCAGAGCTCCTTGGGCCCATGCCACACAGTGTGCACACAGCGTTCCTTGAACATATCACCTCCGCGCCGTGCTTATTTTCCAAGTGTGCCCATTGTGGCTTGACCAAAAGGAGTCGAATTCACGCGACGTGGGTGGACTTGAGTACACCGCTGGTAGAGTTTGACCATTCATTCATTATTATACTAGAATTGAGTAACTACAATATAATAATTACAATAATCATTATTACTATGTCAGAATTCCTCTACCGTTCCGACTGCTAGAGTTTGATACTTTTATTGAGGCACATCTCCCAGGCTTCTTGGCCTTTTGGTTGCTCAACCCAGCTTGGGCGTTTGGAAACACCGTGGCGTACCCAGTTGTCCCATGAGCGCTTGTCAAACAATGCGCCTCACAGGGCATTAAGGTCCTGTATGCATTTTGGGCAAACCCAGCCTTGCAAGACTTGAGACCGTTCCAACTGAATCAACTTGGAAAACATGAGAGAGGGCGATTATAATGAAAGGAGCATGTTTTCAAACACGTGCACTCCCAGCATTTTGTTTCAGTTTTTGATGCTGCATCTCACGTTCCGAAGGCGAGAGGTCACGCCTGGGTGTTGACCTCATCCATCACTTTTCGGGGTCATGGTTGTTTTCGTTGGGGCTGCAGGCCTGTTGATGGACGTGGATTGATGCCATTACACAATTGTCAGGAAAGCTAGCATCAACTAGCTGGATTTGCTCTTACTTTTGCAAGAGTTTGGCTGGTGGGCGATATTGCCGGGGCCCCCTTCCCCGGGGGGTCGAGTCCTTCGTGCCTTCCTCACCTGGCCCTGCTAGCTGCTAGCTTTCATCACCAACCCCTGGCCTCAATTTGCCTAAGGCCCGGTGAATACGAAGCAAAACCTGGTGCTATGCAAGATGCACAGACTGTGAGCTTTGGGTAACACTTCTCGCATTTTCGAAGCAACATTGTTACAGAAGGCCGACTTGCGTTCAGACTGAAGGTTTTCAGATTAATATTATTATCTCAGAATTTAGGCCCGACCACCAAGTTCAAGGCAGATATCTCACATCGTTTCACTTGAGGGGGCCGAAGAAGCCAAGAAACACAATACCGACACAAATTATGATAAGTCTACTTATCTACATGCGTCTAATATCTGGACAAGTTCAGGGTGGCGGAGTTAAACGTTTTGGATGAAAAAGTTCAAGCCCTTATATACATGATTATACATGTAACATAGATACATACTCTACTCTGCACATATATATATATATAAGTAGTCTATTTGTGCATTCACTAAAATACTAACATGGCTCTTGCATGGCTCAGAATTGTTGACGCAACAACTCACCACACCACAAAAGTAGTTTTGGCTGAAATTGGAAAACTGCGATGAGTGGTCCTGATCCCTGGGATGCCTTGGATGATGAAGTTGATTCCGACTGGGAGGCGCGAAGCAGAAATCTGCATCCTGAGCCTTTCCCGTCAATGCAACACAGATCAATGGTTGTGACATGAGTGGAATTCTGAAAGAAAAGATGCAGCATTCAACAGCGCTATAAATATGTGTTGGAGCAGGAAGTGCAGGTCGAGCGCAGTGGAGATGAAGCAGAAGAGGTTGAAGTGTCACCAGAGGATGAGGAATACCAGCTTGAAGAAGAGTTCCAAGACCAGCTGCAAGACGCTCAACGCACGTTGTTTTGATGTGTGTGTGTTGTGGTCAATGAAGAGTGCTGTGACACTGCTAGCTGCTTGGTATAGTCAAGTAATGTCGAGTATCTTGGCCTCACTGAGAAAAAGCACGACGGGCACGGTAGCCCTGACAAACCAAACTGCGACAATCTATACTCCTACCTAGAGCGGCACAATATATGTGTTTTTGTGTGGTTTTCTCCAAAATGTCGACCCACCGGAGGTTCTTGACAAACACATTTGATGGGATTTACGGGGTTGAGCGCTTCACTTGAGAAAACATATTTTCAATTCTCAATGTAGGATGCCAATAATCTGGTCTTGATGCAGGTCAGAATCAGTGTCCCTTTTCTCCACTGAAGGAAGAGTTCGAAGAGCTGCACCACTTGGAGGTGGAGGAGAAGATATGCAAAACAATGTACTGTAAAACAGAAGGGGATGACAAAATGGTTTGCAGATTGCATGCAGTTTCAAGGCTCATGGCTTTGGCATGTGAACAGACAGTCCAAAGTTCAAGCCAAGCTAATATCCTGTTGAGTTGGCTGCTTTTCTTCAAGGAAGAAAAAGGAGAATCAGATGACGAAATT